GGATAGTCGGAGATATTGGTTAACTTAATTAAAAACATTTTTTTAAACTCCTGAAAGAGGAACAATTTTAGACGGGGTGGTAACCTATTATATAGCTTAGCTCCTTCAAACAGTATATTTCTTTTTCCGTACAAAGTCCTGATTTCAGGTAGTTCTAAGTTAGTCTCATGTAGTCTAAGTAAACGTAGTAAGCTAACAAATCGCCGCTCAAATGTAACACATAAAGAGAAGTTTAACACGGCCCCGCTGGGAACGAATAAACAGATTTCGAAAGCGATAAATTCGTTACCTAATTTACTTGTCACACGGAAAATAGCTAGCGCGGGAACAATAAAGCAAAACAAAAACAATACCGTATCTAATTGGATTTATTCGATGTAAAAGGCCTGAATGTAGACGATAAATTCTATGTATTACGTAATATTTTATCAAGTGCTCGGCAGCAGACGAAAATGTTGTGATATCTATCTAAAATTGAATGATCATTAAATTTTGTCTACTGTAGTTTTATCGAAAACTAGTTTTCGGGAGTACACGTTTAATGCGTGTTAAATACGCATTAAACATGGTTCTACCATAGTTAAAGATAGCATTATCAGAATCACCGGCTCACCAACTTGGAGGTAAGTCCAGTAAATTTCGTTTCAAAATATTCTAAATAATGGGTGTAGAAACTAAAAATGCGTAGTAGTACGAACAAAATTCCAATAGATGTCGAGACTTGTATATAACTTCGCACTCGTGGAACTTATAAATACTCATTTATATTCTTCTTGCCCTTTATTTCATATTGCCTATATTCATATCAAAAATAACTTTTCAGAATTCATACAATGTTATTATTAGAAACATTTATTTCATTGAAAAATACACGGCACAAATTTAATATACATTTTTAAGTAACAAGCGAACAGAATAGGCTTTTTATCACCATTAAAATTCTACACAATCAATCTTTATTAATTTCTAATGAATAATACTATATTATGCAAGCAACAGTCGGCAACAACTCGACAAAGTCAACAAGGGCTGCAACCAATCGAAACTAATTGTAGATTTTTAGCTGCTACGTAAATGTTCCATTTAATTAAAATACATTTATGTGTAGCTAAAGAGCGGACTGTGCTCGGTATTTCTCTGCGTGTTAGAGTTCGCAACGAAGACAACCGCAGTAGAACAAAAGTGACCGACATAGTTCAGAAGGAAGGAAGCAAGCTGAAGTGGCGATGGGTCGGCCATATAGCTCGTAGAACTGATAACCGCTGGGGAAGAAAGTTTCTAGAGTGGCAGCCTCGAACTGGCCATCGTAGTGTGGGACCCCCCACTAGATGGAGTGATGACTTGTGCAAATGTGCGGGAAGTCGATGGATGCAGGTGGCTCGGAATCGTGCGTCTTGGCAGTCTGTGGGGGAGGCCTATGTTCAGCAGTGGACTCAAACAGGCTGAAATGACGATGATGATACCTAAATATACATCATATAAGTGCAGAACTAGAGAAATTCCCATAAACCCTGATCTCGTTCAATATTACAATAAATCCTTTCAAGTTGCATATTTTCTTTAGTGTCCTGATCAAGCGGTAAGTTATATGGGCTTTGTATGCTGTATAAAAAGTGGCAGGTCGCAAATCGCGTGCAAAGGAATTCCTATAACGAACGTAACAAAGAAATAATACGGCCGCGACTGGATGGGGCATTCCGCCAATTCTCCAATTGTCTAGCGAACGCGTCTGTCCCCAGCACGGAATGCGAGGAGAATCTCCTAGAGCAATTTGCCAACTCGTGCCATCTCAAAGAGACCTACGTGTCTTTTTGCCCCAGCTTAATAATCCCGACCAGTTGGAAGTATTTACTGGCCTCGGATTGATTAAAACGAAGGCACACACGGAATCTGGTGAAATCTTCGATTACTTCAAGTCAATTTTATTATTGGGATAATCTAGTTGTTAGGCATTATATTTTTATCTTGAGGAATCGATATAAAAATTATCCCTTAAGGTTCAAGGAAATATTCTAAGATCTTAATTTTTTTTCTCGTAAATTTTACTTTTACGTTAAGCGATTTTCCTCTGGATATATTTCACTATCAATTGCGTTAGAAGTCGCAGTTTGAACTCCATTTTACAAACCCTTGTGATCGTTTCTAGTTCGTAGCAGTCCTCCTCCAATTAAGTATATTTTACCATATACTGTATATTGTATACCGAATTATTGAACAAAGAAGAGAAGAATAAAAGGTAATAATTTTACTCTTTCACTGATCTTATATAAAAGTTCGAGATAGATATGACAATATCGCACCGAATTAGAGGCATTCAAATTACACCAATTGGTGTAATTACACTACAATATCATATGTCACATTGACTTAGATATGCCATATAATGTAAAGCGGAACAATTTTTAGACTTACACAACACAGATAGACATGCATATGGCTTATAATATATGTATTGCTTTTGCCTTTAGATGAATAGGCAGATCTTTATTTTTCTTTTTAAAAAACATTGCCCTTACTTTAGGATAACATTATCCTGTGTTGTAGGGACGTTTTACAAACATAAATTTCACGCGGACAAACACCCAGATACGAACAACTATCTGTTGGCCACACAAATAGTTGTCCCGTGTGGGAATCGAACCCACGTCCCCCGACGCCGAAGCCAATACCTTGGCAACTGCGCTACGGAGTCATCAAATCTAGAGAATATCTTGTCCAAAAGCTGACTTTGACTTTATTCGCAACAGCATAGGACACTTCAAACAAAGTTTGTATGCAATTTTTAAAAAAATTAATGTTTTTCTCCTAGCAGTATAATAATCCTGTTAACTGTTAACTCATTTTGTAGGCAATTGTTAAGAAATTAAATGTTTTTATCCTAAAAGAGCCAAGTTAACTCATGACTTCACGCTTATAATCTTGTCAAAGTTCTGGCAAGTCAACGCATTACAAAATAGGAGACACTAGTTATAAATTATAATTAATAAGGTTGATAGATATAATATAACTTAATTAATTATCTGAAGTGTGTTTGCAAATTTAATATTAGCGCCTGTATGTTTACATTAAGTACGGTGTTCACGAAACAAATTTCGTTATAGACATATTAATTCGATAATTATAGACAGGATTCGATAATTATAGGCAATACTAGCTTGCAATCCCGCCTTCCGGAGATAAATATTTAACTTGGTGAAATTTACTCGTCACGATTAAAGGGAATAATAATAATTGTTTAAGTAACATTCATAACTAATGTAACATAGATAAAATATTTCACATAATGCATAGTTTTAGTTATTACCCATACAAACAAACGAACACATTTTACCCCTTGGTAATAACACGGAAGTCGGAAACGAGTTATTAATGTACACAATCGATGTTTTGTATTAGAGGCGGATAATTTCATTACTGCGAAACTATTCTGTTTACTAATTACTAACGATTATACAGCGTGTCGTTACCATCGCGACAATAAATGAACACACATATAGGGGATAACTTTTTAAAGTTTTATTAAACATTTAAATTCTTTAAACATCAATATTTACACAGTTATTAAATTTTGCAAAACAAAGAATTTTAGAACACCATTACCTATAAAAGCGTAACGTAAAGTTCATTTGTAAAGGTCACAAAGCATATGAATGGGTTGAATGAAATTAAAAGAGACAAAACATACTGTTAGAAGGAGAGGCTTGTAATGCGACGTCGTGGCGCGAGTTGTATAGGATGTTCAAATTTTCTTTCTTTTTTACTTAATTAGTTTGAAAAAAAAATATTATGGATTTTGTAACGTTAATATTTTTTATGATTATTGGCAAGTAGCGTTAGACGACTGTCCATTTATTGTCGTGATGGTAAAGACACGCTGTATACATTCTAATCGTACCAATCGAAGCACGATGTGAATCTTATTTAATTTCAACTTCAGTATGTATTTAGTGTTCAGAACAAAAACTCTCAATTTATGTTCATCTGTTAGATTATTTATGTCATACTAGCGATCCGCCCCGGCTTCGCTCGGGTGCAATGTATTATCCGTTGCGTAGTTTTAAAGATCTAAGCATACATAGGGACAGACAGACAGCGAGATGACTTTGTTTTATACTATTTAGTGTTTAAAAATATAATGCAATGGAATTTTTTACTGTGCTTTACCAATAAAGTGCTTTTCATATGTTATTGGTAACCGTATTCTACTAAGACATATAGAAACGTGTTATTTACTGATTAAAAGATTACTTAATTCAGTGAACTTAAGCCGTCCAGATATAATTTACTTCATTATATGATATTATATCTGTAGTACGTTATGTACATGCAATATTTTATATACTCATTACATATCTCGATTAATTAACCTTTTGATTTTTTGCCTGTTCGCTAATTAGTACACCCTAGTCGATCAAGTTTCGATTTAGCCGGTTCAGGTCGGTTCGGGCTACACTTAAACAAAATGAGGCGAGTGGAAAACTGTAGTGGGTTTGGAGTTTCGAGCACATGTAAATCAAATATCTAATGCGATGAGCTGGAGCTACCAACACTGTATATATAATAAGAATGTTTTATTTGATTAAATTACCCCTAGAATACTAATTTTCTTACAAATCTTACATTATAATTTACAAAAAAAAATGTAATCCCTACATCCACAAATACAGTTCAATTAAAAAAAAAAAAGTCAATTGACAGCACCTACATTTATATTCATCTGCGCGGCAGAACGACGTTGCCGTACCGGCGCCAATGCCGGCGTTGCCAAACCGGCAGCCGGGTGACGTATAAGCAACGATCCGGTGCCGACTGCCGGTCAGTATCGTTCCGTTTGCCGGTGAGAATCCGCGCGAGTTTCTACTCAGAATGTTTTAAGTGAAATTGAGCCTTACGGGGTTGTGATACGGTTTAAATTCGCGTGTACTTAGCCATCCGTATTGACTCGCCGTTTGTAAGAAACGCACAGAAAGTTTGCCGGCTGGTACGTTACCACGCGCAGAATGAACCGGCGGAATATGCGGTATGCAAAGTTAGTCTCTATCGCATAGAGAGAAGGTCGAATAATGCAATGAGTTTGTGTTATTTCTATCACAACTTCTGTTGTCTGTCGTTTGTATTCAATTTAATTAATTTAATAATCAAACATTTTAATAGAAGTCCTCCATAATGTTAATTTATTAAAATTTTTCTCATATTTTACCTTTTATAGCTGTTTACACAGCGCTATGAGGCCACTAAAAATACGTGTTTTTTTGTCAAGTTTAAAACGACTACTGTTTAAAACTACTACATCCATATTTTTGGGTACTTAATGTTATTTATGTTTTATTGAGTATAAAGTCACAAAATACTGACATACCGGTGGGGCAATCAGGCGCCATCTTGAAAAAAATATTTGTGCCTGATATCTTGGAAACTGCACTTTAAGGCAAAGTCATTAAAACCATTATTTAGTAGAACATAAAATTTTGCATCTTTTGTTTCCAATAAACTTTTTTGTATAACTTACTGCTTACGATATATGGCTCATTTAATGAACAGGCTTTTCTATATGTGCCGACAACTTTAATTTAATAATAACTTAATTTAATATTGGATTAATCAACAAAATGCGTCTATCATTTTTTAAATCCAGTTCAATCTATTCTTCGTAGCTTTTATGTGCAAATTTTTTGGTAAAATTTAAGCAGGCTACAACTTCGATATAGCAAACAAAAAAAATTAAACGACAGAGAACTATAAATAAAACACATAGATCCGACACAGAGCACCCCGACTCCATGTGGACTTGTGGTCTCTACCCCTAGAGTGAATATTAAAAGTTGGGGCCAGAACCTCGCGTCGGAGGTTCTGAGTGGAGCAAGCCCGCGAGGCCGAGCGGAGCCAAGGTCAAGTGGGTGAAGCGACACTCATTGGCGACATAGCGAGAGTTCTGGCAAAGTGAATGGAAAAGTCAAATTTACTAATGAAATAATATTCTTTTAATATTTCATTACTTATTTTTCACTATCGTTTAATTTTATTTTGCTATATCCAAGGAGTAGCCTGCTAAAATTTTACCACATTTTTTATGATGTCCATGTAAATCCTTTTTGAGTTTTAAGTATTTAATAAATAATTAATGCTGACGTTCGGTGGGTGGTGCCGTGTCGCGGCAGCCCAAACGTTTTTTGCACACTCGTCATTAAATAACAATGACAACACGACGTAATGATTCCAAAACTGCCTGCCTGATGCAAACGAGTATATCGCATGTAGGCCGTGAATCTGGGACCTGGCATTGCCTGCTGCAAACGAGTATATCGCATGTAGCCTCGTTCCGTTACGTGAATCTGGGACTTCACTGGTTATTATTTCACTAGCCAGGTCGAATGTTTTTTTCACATTCGCTGAGCCGTATGTCCGTTAAAAACATACCATAATGTTAGTTGCGTTGTGAATTATGAGCTATATGTCGTGATAAATATCGGTCGTGCCTCGTTTGGCGTTACGTCGACGCCTCGTTGGGCGCGTCTGACCGCGCTATGCCGTCTTAATGTTATCCGCTAAGACATAGCAGCGTTGCATTATCATAATGGTTAGTTTTGAATAAAAAATATAATTAAATATAAAAATATGTCGCGCGTCGGTAGGCGTGTCATGGTTGCGACCGACACATAACGTTTATCCGACGGCGATTTGTTAGTTATTTTTTCCCTCAGATGCACGGTCGGATGGGGTACGGGATTGATTCCGAATGCTTTCACCAACGGATTTGTATGGACGTTAATTCTAGTTAAGTCTCTCATCAACCTTTCTTTAATGAAATCACCATGCAAATCAGCGTCCCGCACGTACCACGGTGCATCTGTTGCGCGTCGAAGAAATTTATTTTGAATTATTTGTAATAGATTCAGTACATTAGGAGGGATATGCGCGAAACGTAATATCTACAGGTTTCATTTTATGTATATTTTTTATTTATTGTGAAAAGTTGCCAAGTGAGCAGACTGTTCACCTGATGTTAAGTGATGCGATGTGATGTGATGTTAAGTGAATACAGTTGCCATGGACATCTGATACACCCAAGAGTTCCAGATGCGTTGACCTTTTGAAAATTTAGCTCCGGCTACCTCACTCACCAGACGAAACGCGAAAGTATTATACTTCCACTTTACGCCGGTCTTCTGTGAGGTCGTGGTACGTACTCTGACGAGCCTGCCCATCGTGCCACAGCCGAGGCTGCTGCGTGTCCCTACATGATACACATGTAGGGCTAAGATCTTGTTCCTTTATTAGTCATAGAAACTTCATTAGTCATAGAAACTTAGTCATAGAAACTTTATAATGTTGTTATAATTGGCACTTGGGGCGTTCACATTAAGTTATTACACGAGCCATGTTTATCTTACAGATTCGCTCATAAATATTCGAGGCTTCATGCATCAAGGTCCGATTGGGAGTACTCGAACAAGGACATCAAGACGGTAGAGTTGATTAAGGCGATTCAAGAGCAGCCATGCCTTTGGAACAGGATGAGCGAGGAATACAGGGACCGATACAAGCGCGACGAAGCCTGGCAAAAGGTCTATACAAAACTCAATCCGGACTATATGGAATTAAAGAATTCGGAACAAATAGACATAGGTAGCCGTCTATTTATTTATTGGCATTCGAATGTAATGTACTGCTCTTAAAGCCTACGGCTTATTAGTACAGAGGACCTAAGATAAGTCTTCTTATATATGTGACATCAGTTTTTTATGAATAAAACTTAGTTTATCAAATGAAACCATTTTACGGATTTCATCGCGTTTTAATTTTGATTTTTAATTCCCGACTCGAATCCTTCACAGCGCTCATGGCTTTCAGCAATAAATCCGTAATATAGTTTCATTTTCTATGTATAATATATGCGTAAAAACAAATAAAAATTAACAACTTGTTCTTTTAAAGTAAACACGATGCTAGAAGGCAGCTACTACGCTCTAATGATTTTTTTATAACAAAATGGGCTAAATGTTCGTTGTCATTCGTGGATGATGTAAATCTGGTGAGGTCAGTCTTTATTTATATCACTTACAGGATCTGATGTTTCCTATTTTCAGAGAGAGTATGGTAACTACGATACTGCTTGGGATTATCGCACTAAAGCTTTACTCTGATGATATCTAACGGGGACTTTCTTGTTAACCAAAGGCCAGTGAAAAGGCCGTTGGTTGACAAGAAAGTAACACCAAAAGTCAAATTCATCGTAGAAGTTAAAATTTCATACATATATTATTCAAATTTTCAATATTTTTTATTGACGGTGGCGCATTTGAATTAATTTTTGAATAATAATCAGATTGTATTTTTTTTATTTGAGACGATGTCAAGTGAGCTGACGGTTTTCCATATGTTAAGTGATAACCGCCACCCATTAACATTTGTTACACCCGTAGAGTTGCAGATGCGTTGCCATCTTTTAATAAAGCGGGCCCCGGCTACCTCACTCATCACACGAAATGCAGAAATATAACACTTCCACTTCATGCTGACTTCTGTGACGTCGTGGTACTTACCTGGAAGGACCTTCCCATTCGTGCAACAGAGAAGACTGCTGCGGGGCCCTACCATCGCGAAATATTCCAAGACAGCTCAGCGGCGTGGCATTATGTCGCCGTCATTGAAATCGATGAGGAGGACTATATTATGTTTAATACAACCTGGCTTTACCGAACCTTAACTTATTTGCATTAACTTACTTGCCAGGTGTTCAGATCACCAAGAAATGGTACAACATAAGGGATTCATACGCAAAAAGGAAGAGGAGCGTAAAAAGCAAACCGTACCTATACTCCGATCTGCTTTCATTCATGGACATTCATTATATTGGAGAGAGCGGTAGCACATCAAACACAAATAGCGAACAAAAGGCAGCAGAAGACAGTAATTCCGCAGAGGACACAGAAGAGAGCTTGCAGGCCTATCCAGAAGAAATCTACATTGATATTGATGAAGACGAATGTGGAACGCCCGCTAAGTTATCTAGAACGGAAAGGGAATCGACCGCGAAGACAGAGGAACATCAACAGGACGATAAATTGATAAAGGTCTTGGAAAGCTTAGCAGAAAGGGAAACCGATGAGGACAGATCGTTTTTCGCTGCGGTGCTGTCTTCAGTGAGCTCATTATCCGAAGACTCCAAGTTGGAGTTTAGGATAAATGTGCTGCAGCTAATACAAACTCTGAAGAAGAAGGACAAAGCGAAGGATGCTATGAAAACCGAATTGACTATTGAGAACAGTAATTAAGTACTATGTTAGAGAGGAGTCCTTAATCGCTTGCGTCTAAGTTGACGTGATTTCAGATCGCTAGTTAACTTTCCAGCTCACAGATCGCCGACGTCAGATAAACGTTTCAATTCATAGGCTGTGCATGTTTCACGTTAATAAATAGAACAAATTGTTACAAATGTGTTTATTTTTCTTAGTAGACAAATAGTACAGTTATAGCGTTTTGACAATCAATAAGTAAGTGTAATACTTCTATATTGAAAAAATATATTGGAATTTGAAATAACATAATTATTTAGAAAAAAAATTTTTGTTTTGTTTTTCGCTGTCTGTCTGTCCGTCTGTCACCATGGTGTATCTTACAAACCGTCATAGTTAGACAGTTGAAATTTTCACAGATGATGTATTTCTGATGCCGCTATAACAACAAATACTAAAAAACAGAATAAAAAAATATTTAAGCGGGGCTCCCATACAACAGACATAATTTTTTTGCCGTTTTTGTAGATATCGGTACGGTAAATAACGGTACTTTTCGTGCGCGTTCGCCATTTGACTCGGTGACGCATTATTTTATATGTAACTCTGGCTTTGGTGTCGGGGGTCATGGGTTCGATTCCCCCACTGTACAAGTATTTGTGTGACCCACAGATACTTTTTCCGGATCCGAGATTATAATCCCAACGAGGTAGTGACCTCAAGCCGGCCGGTCATAAAAACTAGCCAATACCATGAGAACACATTTGTAAGCTAACCATGTCAAACCGAAAAAAAATTTAATAAAATTAAAAAATTTTTATTAAAATTTAAATTTTTCTAATGATTAAGCCCAGCCCATTATGGTTAATAACCGGATTACGCCGACGTCCCCGCTTAATGAAGCCACTTAATTCGATCCAAGGATTAAGCAGAGAGCCCAACTAATACCCAATCATAATCGATCCTGGCTTAGGAAAGGCTCTGCGCATTCGAAGTGCTTAGTGATGTAATGTACATCATAATCATGTATATAAATAAAAAGATCTGACGAAATTGCTCTTGCTATACATATATACTCTAAAAAATATCCATCGTTTTGTTATAAAGATTATAAAAAAGGACATTAGCTTATGATCGCGATATTTATGAATGGAATATACTACGAAACGATTCATCATCATCATTTCAGCCTGTTTGAGTCCACTGCTGAACATAGGCCTCCCCGACAGACTGCCATGAAGCACGATCCTGAACCACCTGCATCAATCGACTTCACGCACATTTGCAGAGGTCGTCACTCCATCGAGTGGGGGTCGTCCTACACTGCGATGGCCGGTACGGTGCTGCGAAAAAACAATTAATTCTAACAATTTTTCCTTAGGATAGAATCATTAATTAATGGAATCCGTAATGTGAATATAAGCTCCCATCCGGTATTTGAACAACTTGGTTCTTTTTCAAACCCGTTCTCGGTATTATATATACCAAGAACGGGTTTGATATATACCGAGAACGGTATTATATATACCGAGAACGTGTTTGAAAAAGAAACAAGTTGTTCAAATACGGGATGGGAGCTTATATTCATATTACGGATTCCATAAATTAATGATTTAAATGTTCTTCAGTAACATGACACAACATAACACACAAATGTCAACTTTTAGATGTGAGAGAGAAAAATATTTAAAGATCCGTGAAGAAGAAGATCCGTTATGTCCATCACACCTCTAAATAATGGCAGTAGTTAAGTATGTAATGTTATACACAGATCACAGTTTTTAAATTGACAAGCGAGCAGGTAGTTCACCTGATGTTAAGTGAATACCACCGCCCATGGACATCTGCTACACCAGGGTTCCAGATGCGTTGACAACATTTTGAAAATTGGGTTCCGGCCACCTCACTCACCAGACTTCACCACCAACGTGGCCGTCAACGGGAACAGACGTTTGTTACGTAAAGTATATGTTTTTACAACATATTAAAGTATATGTATTCTACCACTTATTACTTCTTGTCTTCCTCTTTGTGATAGTTCCGCCCAAATTTCTTATATCGTTTTTCGCCTACAAGCACGGCGAAACCAACACATCGCGAAAGTGCAAGCATCTGCAAGCCGTCAGGTGTATATGTCCATGGGTGGTTGACAACTTTTCACGTAAATAAAAAAATGGCAGATCCGATGCTGATGCTCACTGCTCCCAGCTAACGAATAACACAGTCCACTGGTTCTTTAAAATTTATAGTCTGCGGACTGGAGAACGTCGAGTTTGCGGAGGAGTGCTCAAGCCCCGGTAACGATGAAATTACGCAGGAGCTCCTGTACAAGCTTCAAAAGTTATCCCCGGTAAGTTGAGCATCTCCAGCTTTGGAGCTCTTCTTTACTCATGTCATTGAGCTTAAGATGTAATAGGGAACTTTCTGAAACCTTGACACGTTGATGTGGCGGACTTGGAATCTAGCTGTGTACATAAGCAAAGTTTCTATGATTCATTAACTTATTTTCATAATTTTGACGATACACTATTACAAATAAAATGTTTGTCTAATTAAATCATTTTTAGGTACTCATATCATATCATTTCTTTTCTCAAACTTAAGATGACTCTTGTGACATCTCTTATCTATATGTATGACCACTTCATTATATGTCATTCTGCACTTTATAAATCCTCCATTAAAAACTGTATAACGCTCTAGTTTTAAACTTGCGTTTGTAACTGGCATAATCTAAAATTCCACTTAAATCCGCTACTCATACACGAGGTAATGAATGCTTTAGATATATCATCATCATCATCATTTCAGCCTGTTTGAGTCCACCGCTGAACATAGGCGATCCTGAGCCACCTGCATCCATCGACTTCCCGCACATTTGCACAGGTCGTCACTCCATCTAGTGGGGGGTCGTCCCACACTGCGTTAGATATATGATAGAGTTTAGATATATACCAAGATTTAAATGAGACCTTCCTCATTTCAAAAGAAGGTGTGAAGTTATTCTTTACTCGATTTATAATTTGTGTCCGTGCGGAAACTTTGCAGTCATACCTGATTCCGCTTCTTGCGTCAATTGTTTAAAACAAAGCCTAGAAAAACGATAAAAATACCTACAATAATTAACTTATTTGTGGCAGAAGAAGATTTTCATGATATTCATAAATTTTTCATTTATTCAGAAAAATAACTGATGGAACTAACTTAGCAATGCACAAAATTAATACAAAATCCAACTTATAATCCATTTACATGTTTTAACATCAATTAAAGTTCTTCAATTTGATTTCCTACGGGATTAAACATGATATGATAGATCGTTTTCCTTTCGAAAAAGGAGGCAAACGAGCAGGTGGAGTAAGTGTGACGCCCATCGACACTCGCAACTATCACTGGTTTCACATACTACAGATGATTTGAGTTTCTGTATTTGAAGGAAATTTACTTAGGTACCTTTAACCAGTTAATTGATTTCGTTCCAGCAGTTCAAGAAAGAAGACACTTTGTATATATCCTAATGAGTATGTCCATTTCTTCGGAATCATCCGTAGCTAAATAATTTGATAGATATTACCGTGCTGTGTTATTAAGGTCGTTCCACTTGGGAGTATAAAAAGGTTCTTAATCTTAACACTAACCTTGTGTACTCTACGAATTGAATGGTTTTATTATATCTTAGGGCTCCGTACCCAAAGGGTAAAACGGGAGCCTATTACTAAGACTCCGCACTATTTACGGTTTAAAAAAAAAATAAGTCTGTCTGCCTGTCCGTCTGTTACCAAGTTGTATCTCATGTTCCGTGTTAGTTAGACAGTTGAAATTTTTACAGATGATGTATTTCCGTTCTATAAAAACAAATACTAAAATAATGGTTTTCCACTCCAAATACTGAAGGTAAGCGCTCACCCACACCCATGTCTTCCTTTCACCTTCTTTCACTTGGCGAAGGACTTTTAGATTTGTATAAAATGGTCAAATGAAATAAATTGTAACTTGAAATGAGTTTTCTTTGAATTTTGATTGGAAATCAAGAAAACAGTATCGAAATTTGAAATAAATTGCCGCAAACGACGCGATTTTTATCAAAAAGTTTTGACACAAAGTACCCAAAAACTTCAATGTACATGTGTAAATTCATGGATTTGTGCGAATATTTACATACGCGAGTTGGGTCAGCTTCTATTAACTTATGTCTGTAAACGAAAAAGCACCGTTTGACGTAAACAGGCGGGCGATAATGTACTCGGAAACAGTAATGCTCGGCAAAGCATACCAGCTTTGTGTTCCTCGAGTTGCCTTTGTGAAATTTGAATGTGCTCACCAACAAACTTTGCCTTACTAACTTCGCTAGGTGGGGATTTGTAATACGAAAATTTCAGATGTGATCCATAAAATTTTAACGTTCGTTTTTACCTGTAATCATTAAAGTTTCGACTATGACTAAGATGATTCTGATACATTTTTTTAACTTCATATATTTTTCTTTGTTTTTTTTGAAGTGAAACTTCTTTATCGGGGTTGGAAAAAAATTTAGTGTAACATTTTTCCGTTACGCGCCACCTTTTTTTATTTTAAAATGTTCCTCTAACGCCATCTAGTGTTGAATAGGGGGTTTTATGTCGACTTTATTCTTTAGTGGTTTTAATCGTTGACGCTAGATGGCGTTAGTTCCTTGGTGTGTTCATAGCAATATGTTATATTAAAGTGATCAGCAAAATCAAAGGGCTTATTTTAATTCTAATTCTAAAATGTAAACAATATATTTCGTATTTCAGTTACCATAAGCCATTAATAACACAAATATATAATAACGACATCAATGATAGTAATAATTCTATTACAATTAATGAAATTCAATAATAATCTTCTCTTCCTCTTCTCCAAAGGCAGGCACCGCCCACCGTGACCTGACTGCGCCTTCCACCGAAGACACAATCTGAAGCTGACCGATGATGCTCTTTGAAACCTCGATCGGCTCCTGGAACTTGCGGTTGCGACGTCGATCCAACGTTCGCAAGTTCGGTTTTCCAAAAAAA